CCTTAAAAAAAAAAATTGGTTGGGTTTTTAAATTTTTTTAAAAAAAACAAAAAAAAAAAAAAAAAAAAAAAAAAAAAAAAAAAAAAAGGGAAAATGTTAGACAAAAATGCGGAACACAAACCGTGATTAACACAGCATAAAAAATTGCATAAATTTGTCTCTCGGGCTCCACAAAATGCTGCAATTTACAGGCAGAACACTCTTAAAGAATAGTAAGATGGATTCCTGCGTTTTATGAACCCATCATTGCACCAAACATGCCCTAAAACAGGCACATAGTTACATAACTATTTAAGAATCTTTAAGGAATGCTGCGAAGCACAGTGTAATTAAGGTTTCCTTTTACTTCATGCATCCCTCGGGGAAACGACTCCACTTCAACACAGACACATCCATCACCGCCAAGGGCAACAGAGAGAGAGAGGCAAACATGCATTAGGAGCTCTAAAAGAAGAATGACTCCTGGCTGATTCGAGCTGGAGAACATCGGGACTGCTTCAGCGTGAAAACCAAGCAGAGGCCTGAAGTACTTCCCCTCCTTTTGTCCACTTAGGAAAACATGCGCTACAAAGTAATCATCTTGACGTGAAGCATGGACCTTTTACAGCCTCTAAAATGAATCATGTAAAAGCGCAAAACACTTTGAATTGTCTGAAAGTTTAGCACAACATCTGATGCCGTAAAGAAAAAATAATTCAATATTCAATCCAGAACATCACTGAATCATCCATAACTTTGGAGTTAGTGGTGCGTTTTAAATTAGCAAACAAAATCACTTCTCCATCACTTTTAAACAGTTTAAACTGTATTCTGTTTGGACGTTTCATGGGTCTTACATTAAGCCCAGTCAATTTAAGGTTTACTACAACAATGACCCTCAGCAAACCAGAAATAGGCCCTAACAATCCAGAGAAGTATCCGACACAGATATAAATACGAGTCACAGTGGACAGCATCTTAACAGCCTGATGGATAAAAGAAGCTAGCAGGGATAAACAAAACCAGACGGAGTGCAAATTTTAATGGTAATGAAGCAATGAGCAAAAACATACAACTTTTCTATTTTGAGCCTGGAATTAATAGGCATGAAACAATTAGAAGAAAAAAAAGAAATTAACAAAAAAAAAGCAACAACAAAGCAGTAGTGTCCATTTAAAAAAAAATTGTGGAGTTAAATTTAAGATAAAAAAAAAATACAGAGCTTCTCATTTGTTCCTTGTCAGATGTTTTGCTTTATATTTTCTATATTTACCTAGAAACTAACCAGTCCAAATAGTAGATAATTTTAAGTTTTTGTTTTTTTGATCATAGTTAATTATCATTTTGTAATTATCAAATCTTTGCTCTTACCACATCAATGGTTGTTACAAAGCAAGTGTTGAATTGCTAAAATTTTAATTGACACAAATAGAAAACTGATTAAATAAATAAATGTTAAAGCACAATACATTATGTATATTGACTTCTTCTGCAGATGTGCCAACTGGATATTTTTACAGGCTCAAAAACAGAGAAAAGCTGCAATGTTTTGAGATTGGTTTAGTTGTTAAGAAAACACATTAGTGCACCTGAACCGCACACCACCTGCCTGAAAGGGTCTGGACACGGCTCCTTCAGAAGATGGAGGAGCTAGCAGCATGTGGGAGGCTGACATTGGACTGGGTGAGCGAAGGCTGGCCGAGGACAGATTACAGGACACTGAAAGGACATCGTCAGTGTGGGGAGGGAAAAGCGGGGCGCTCCAACCTGACTGCACTGCAGCATGCTGGGTCAGAAGGTCAATGGTGTAAGGATTAGTCTGGGTGTCGGGGTGAAAGCTGGGAAAGCCAGGCGGTGACTGCTTATAAGGACAAGAATTTGACCAACTGCAGCGCAGCGAGTCAAAGTTTGGACTGGGTTGGGGAAGGAGTGGAGAGAAATGCCAAGGAAAGGAATGGCTGCTGTTGGCTGGGGCGTTGGTTGTGATGGGGGTCCCAGTGTGGGTTGGGGGAAACCACAAAGGAGAAAATGTCAAATCAGAGTTTAACTTAGATGTTTCCTCAGATAAAGACCTTTTATAAAGAGGTGCTCTTTGTAGTAAAGGCGAGTTAGGCTCAGAACTGGTAGAGAAAAGACGAGGGGGAAAATTCAGAGGTAGCGAGGAGAGAGGTGGAGCGGGTGAGTGGGAGGAAGAGGAGGGAGATGATGGATGAGCGTTTCCAGTGCGGAGAGAAAGCTGAGAGGCAAAGCGCTGGTTTTTTTGGCAGTGATGAAGAGGAGGAGCAGAAATACAATCCAGGCTGAAGGTGGGCTGAAGGGATGGACGGCGGACGGGCTGCAAACAGAGAGACAAAGGTAGAGGAGGAGGAGGGAAAGAAATGGAGCCATGAAAAGCAGAGGTGTGCCGGTGGAGGAGACGGAGAGGATCGAACCACAGACAACCATGTTCCTGAATGTAATATACACCCTTTATTCCCAAGAACATGAATGTGTTGCAATAAGGCTAAACATGAACCATGTCTATAAATGACCCAAACCCTGGAAATCACTTCTCTCAGTCTGCTGAATGAGTTATAAAAAAACATGTTGGCTTCTGATGTAACCCAAAGAAGAAGTTAAGAGATGCTGGCAGCACATGAATCATAGTAATGAGTCAGGGGGAAGAAGCTGGAGAAACAAAATGTAAGGCGGAGCAATGAGGGATCATGGTAGAGTTAAAAAAATATATTGATTGTAACTGAAGACCGTTACATTTGACTAATCTATTAAAAACCGAACCTTGAAATGTCTCCTTGAAGAAAACTAAGCAAATTTTAACAAGGAATCACACACTGAAAAAAACAAGACATCACTAAGAGAAATAACTTTAAAAGTGAAAACTTGGTTTTGAAACCAAGACCGTCTCACACACACACACACACACACACACACACACACACACACACACACACACACACACACACACACACACACACACACACACACACACACGTGTATCGCCATCTTACTTTGGGTGGAGCTTCATCCGGCCCTCCTGAGTCCCAGGAAACGGTGACCTGCCGCCTCATCTCCATCCTGTTCCTCTCTTTCTGCTGGAGCTTCTCCTCCTCCAATATCGTGCTAAGAGAAAATATAGTAAAAATAAGAAAGTTTTTAATAAACACATTCCATCAACTTAAAACAGATATATTAACAAATGTGAAGCAGCGTAAATGTCACTGCAGAAAACATGCCCACTCATTTTCATACTGCTTTTAAGTTGTTGGTCCTTAAAGAAATCTATGTATATATAAATACATACAGTAAAGGTTTACAGTAAAATAAATTCTATTAAATGTTTCCATTTCTGAATTTTTTTTCTTATAATGCTCTGTAAAATTTAAAACATTAGAAAAGAGAAAATTAAATAAAAATTAAATTAAGCATTTGTCCATTTAGCATTTGTTTAGTTAGCTCTTTTAGAAAATGCGATATTTTCATAATTAGCTCAGAATAACTTCCAAGTAAGATCACCCTGAAAGCAGACAGCAAGGTGCTACACGAAGTCTCCAAAAACCCTAAAATGTCATCATGGGATCAGCAATATGTTATTGCTGATATGAAGTAAATTGTTTGAACAATCAGAAAGAAAATGTACAAGTTTCGCTTTCTAACAAGTCAATTCATCATTATCCAGTTCTAGGAAAGAAACTTCATACCAACTCTAAAGCAAGGAGGTGGAAGTGTCATGGTTTGGGGAAGCAGCAGCAAGACGTGTTCAACCCACGTTCATTAAATCCCCTGTGAATATTATCAGGTTTTAGAGAATGGTAAAGGGGAAATGCGAGACCATCCTGGAAAAAAAAAACATTAAAGTGGAAGCAGAATTGAACCCTTCAACATGACAATGACCTAAACACACCAGTAAATCCACCAAAGACTGCATGAGAAGGGAAAGTCCAAGCCAAAGACCAGGTCTAGAACTTATTGAGGTAGTGAAGAGTTAAAACAAGTAATTTTATTTAAGAGCTCTTTCAAACATTTCAAAGCTAAATGTGAAGATTTGGGCAAACTTTCCTCAGACAGATGTAGTAGATTTCTACGAGAAGCAAATACTACTGGCTCCTAATGAACAGTGTCCTAACTTTTTTTAAGCTAGAAAACCCATTTTTGTTGACATCTCTTATTTAATAAGTAAAAATGAGATCATACGCCAATAATATATATACCATCGGAAGTAAAACGGTTTAAGTTTTCAATTGAAAACGTTTCAAAAATAAAAGCTAAATTTGTGTATTTACCTTGCAGCGCTCCCAGGACCTCCGCAGTGATCCGGCGACTATTTAAATTCCTATAGCTATAATACTTCACCACCCAGTTTTAATTCTGACACAATTGCTTCCAGTATAAGTAAAACCGCTACGTAAACTCTGTCAGTAAAATTGCTCAAGAACTCACTGACTCACTTAAAATTAGGCAACATCCCACGCCTTCTCACGCAGCTATTTCAGCTCACATGAAGAAGCCAAAAGATACCACACAGAAATTTACAGTTTTCCAGAGGAAACGGAGGCGAAAGCAGCACCAAACCGTCAAAGACGCTGACTTAGAGGCGCCGTCGGTTCCACAAGAGAAAGACGTTCTGTTGTCAACTCAAGCTGAAGTGACCATTGATACAGACTGCCGATACCAGCCCACCCTGAGGGCAAGAGATATTTCTGGTAACATCACCGCCCTCCTGTCCTTTTGTCTCCTGTGGAGTATTTGTGTGCTGTGCCACCTGTCCGAGTCAATCTCCTATATACGGCCTTTTCTTCCATCACAACACAATCGCTCTTTCGTACAACTAAATGAGAGCACAAGGCAGTGAAATGATCGCAATCTTTACCCATAATTTAACCTGAAGAACAACACACGGACAGAAGAGCAGATTTAGTGTTTTTACTACTTCACCCATTATAAAAATTGGTATTGAGAGTTTATTCTAAGAGGTTAAAACTTCTGTTTACTCTGAAAACAACACTGTTCAAATGCGGAGGTTTTTAGAAATGTATCATCTAGAATAATACATTTTGACTGTTAGACGCCGGGTCACTTTTTTAGTTAAATTTTTAAACTTAAAACAGTGGGATTTCCCATAAAAGACATGTTTTTAACAAGTTAACGGGACAGTATTTTCTGTGTTTGACAAATATGTTTATGCAGTTAATTTCTCATAGGTTGAACTTTTTTTTTTTTTAATCGCAAAATTCAAGAGGCCAGCCTCTTTTCCTTCACCTTGTAATCCACACAAACATGTATGATGACGATACCATCAGCAGCATATGGCAACTTCAACACACACAACCAAGCAAACCCCCCAACGACCCCACCCACGCTGATCCACAACACACAAGCACCTGGAATAACACGACTCCAGGTCCGTTTGTTGATGCAGGATGGGATGACCTGACTGCTCAGGTTTAAGTTTTTCTGCAAATGGTTCAAGATGTCATAAAAATGTAGCTCTTCAACTCACTTTGCTTACATTGAGATTCACTTCAAGACCGGCTTTATGTAGATGTAAAAAAAAAAAAAAAAAAAAAATAAATATATATATATATATATATATATATATATATATTGGTGTATTGCTATGAAGTGCAGTACAAGAACAAAAGGTATTATGTGAACCATTATATTTAATGAATAAAAAAAAATAAATGGTGATGTCTGAAAAGAAGACAAAAAGATTTTTTTGTTGTTTTTTTTTACAGTAAACAATTGCAGTCAATTTACTCAGGAAAACAAACAGCTCTCAAAGAGAAATCATGCCTGTGCAAGAGACTACTGAAGAATTTAACTTGACAATCTTCATTCAAGTTAATAAAAATACCTTTCTCTCTTTGAAGCAAACTCAAAAAGGTTTTTTCTTTATTTAAAATGTAAAAGAATCACCACTCAAGTAAACTGAACTCTTGGAACTCAAAAGTCGGATTATAAAGCTAAAGGAAAATCAGAAAAATAAAACTGTCAGGCATAGACAGAGTGTTCCTATCTATCTGCCTTGTAAGGTCGTTAACACACTTTAACCCTTCACAATCTAACACCAGATAACGCACTGCTACTGCGAAGTGATCTGATTTGATCACCATGAAATAAAATTACAGACACCCTTTAAGAAAGCAGTTTCAAAGTATAATTTATCAGTTTCAACTCGGATAATGATACTCCAGCATTGGGAGCCTCTGTGGTCTGGCTTTGGCTCTCATAGTAGAGGACTACATTAATCCATCTGGATTTTACCTTCATTTATTCTCGCTGGTAAGTTGTAACTCCTGGCAGCTGCCACCTGTGAAAACACCCCTTTTTCTTGTGGTATTCGCTGAGAGCTGCATATTCGGTTAGCAAGGCCTACAACTGATATTATGATAGAAAAACCCGGCAGACCAGAGGTAACCCAAACGCTTCACATGTACAATATTCTCAGAGTCGCTGCCAGCGGCCACAATAAACGTGATCAATATTGATTCTCTTTCCAAACCACAAAATCACTCACAACTGTGTGGCCGGGTCAAGATGTTTTTCAGTCAAAGCTTCATTTTGTCCACTTACCACCCGGATGAAAAAACCTCATCCACAATTTGTCCTTAGTCTGGCAGAAAATGAAAAACCAGACATATGGCTTATGTTATAGCACTAAAACGATTTTCATAAAGTGAAGGCCTGTTGCTAATAAGAAAGAGAAGCAGATGGCAAGCAGAAGAGACTGCGTGTCGAAAGATGGAGCTGTACAGCTCATCTCTTTTTTAAAAATCTACTTTTAACAGACAGTGAAAAGCAAAATATGTCGTCTATCTCGTTTCTGAATACTGTGTTTTCTATTGAGAGGGCTTCACTCGCATGGAGATTAAATGACGGACATCTGTTTTGCCAGATAATGTTCAAAAATGCAGGAAATTATGTGGCTGCAGAAAATAGGCACCTTCGAAACCTTTTCGTAATATTCCTCTTCAGTGATTAAGAAAACATTTTTTTTAGCTATTAAAACTTTACATTTATTTGAAATGTTTTACTGGGAGAAATGTTGAATTTGGTCCAATAAAAGGTAGAACAAAGTTAGAATATGAAAAAACCTCTTACACTTTGAGTTCTTCTCCTCAGACATTTCCTTGTTTTTTGTTTTTTTTCCTTGGACTGAGAGATGAAACGTAACTTCCAAAAAAACTACAAGTGTTTTGACGCGTTAGTGATTTTGACTTGGTGACTAATGGTGGTTGGGGAAAGCTCCACCCTAACTGGACTTCATCTCAAACCTCTTCCAGAGTACAGAGAAAACATGAGTAATTGTTATTTTTAGTTTAAAATGTGAGGTCACAAATGTCTCAAATTACTACCTACATACAGCATTTTAAAATGACTAACACTTTTTAAACAGTACTGAATGGCTTTGATTTTTATGCTAACCAGCAAGCTGATTTTCACAGTTATCAATATAATTTGAAAAATTATATCAGTTTGCAAAATGAATATAGATTGTGCCCCATCTTATTTAGAATGTGCATTATTTTTTATTGAGCTAATGTGAAACATTATGTTTCTAATAAATGCGAGTTTTTCACCCATTACAATGACATTGACAAGGGAAATACATTGTATTGGCTGCTGCCAAAGAGAGCAGCTGAAACACAACACATTAAAATTTGGAAGCACAAAATTTAGGAAGCAGAAGAAAACCCTTTTTTTATTTTTTATTTTTTTATAAATCTTTTGTGCCTGATTAACCGGAAGAGCAATGACACAAGCTATGAGCAAAATGATCAATGATTAAGATCATTACAGAGAGTAAACTTGTCAGAGTTAGCCGACTTCTTTAAAGCCTGCAGCTGTACATGTCAAGTCTAGTATGTCCTAAAAGAACAAAAGCAAAAACATGTATGTGACATTTAGAAATATAAATATTCTCTCAGCAGAGTTAACTTTGTGTTCAATGTGCATTACGGCTGAAGATACGCCAAGTGGGATAAAATGTCTATCGCTGTCAAAATAACCCCCCAAAAAAAGAAAATGTAATTGCTGGTAGAGAGTTAGCTAAGTGGAACACCATTACAATCCTAATATGGACCATATGATACAGGCCTAATTGTTAATTTCATGGCACTTTGAAGCTAGTGTGTACTCAAGCTCATCTAGCACGACACACTGATTTCATAACTTTAATGTAGAATATAGGATTAGGATTTGACATGGGCAAATTCCTAATCGCACCTCAGTTGGAGCATAACGTTGCTAATTTTAGGCAAGTACTTTATTCTCTTAATATCTAGAAGGTAAATGCGACTTTTTAAGGGTTTGCTGCATTCTTAGAACAGTAGAGAACGGTTCAGCACTTAGGTTGTTATATCATGATTAAAAATAAGCCTTCTGTAACATTTTTTTAAAGGTTTTTTTTTGGCTCTAGTGACCTTTATTTAAAAATGCTAAGACAGGAACGTAGGTAAAGAGAGAGAGAGGGAAGACATGTGGCAAAGGACACCAGGCCAGGAACCGAACCTGCGACGGCCACGTCGAGGACTAAGTCCTCCATATGTGGGATGTGCTTAACCTCTGCACCACCTCAGCAACCTGAAACCTGCTCGGTCTTATCTGATCACAACACGCAGAGGCTTTGCTGTGCTGACAGAGAACTCCTCTTTCCAGGTGAATCTCGTCACAAAGCACTGATGCGTCATCGGCTAAGAACGTAAAGCATGATCCAAGTTTCAGGAATAAACTTATCTCTGTCATCAATAAAGCTCTGTTACTATGGCTACGAAAATATCATTAGACCAAACAGTAGGTTCAATACAGTTTGTTTATGTCTGCTCGGTGAATAAGAAGATCCTCGGGATCAAAACGCAGGACTAGTACAGTCAACATTGTCAGTCACCACCTGAGTAAAAATCCCCCATCTGCTTTTAGGCCAGGGAGATTATTTTTTATGTGGATTAATCTGGGAAAGAAACCAAGAAAGTGTCACGTTTTCTGAACAAGTGCTTCTTCAGGAGCACAACAATGTTATTCATCAGCACTTTGTCACAGCTGGAGAGACTAATGGACATTTTTAACTTCATTAAGTAAGACAACAATTTCTAGTAATTTTTTCCGTGTAGAGAAAAAGCTGCTCCTCGTAAACTATGTCCAGAATCATTTATATCCTGGGACTATTTATGATCACTAATGCGTTGAATTCCAGCAATGCAGAAATGTTGGGCACAGCTGTAATTTACTCAGAAATGCAAAACCAGTCAAATGAAAATATACAAGAAATATAGTTGGATGTTCAGTTTCTCTCCTCTCTCCTTGTTTCACTGAAATCACACAGAGAGTGACACCTGCTGTTAGGAAAAAGTCAAGTGCTTTCATTTGGTTAACATTTATTGCGTTTCTTTGATCAGCAGCTTTTCTGGTGGAGTTTCTGTTTTAGAGGGAGGGAAAAAAATTTGTCAAACTATAAAGAATATCAGGAGGAAATCTCCCGACAAGTCTTTAATCTGAAATTTCAAAATAGATGTAAAAATAACTAAACTGTAAGAATAGCACTGAATGCAATTTCCACAACACTTGCAAGCGAACGTTTCTTCATTGAAATTAAAAATCTTACATTTCCCTAAACAACGCTCACACACACACACACACACACACACACACACTGGCATAATCAACATGAAAACCGCAAAATAATCCAATTGACTGCAGTACCTGAGTTGTGTTTTAAGTTCATTGAATCGTGGCCTCTTGCTGGGATCGTACGACCAACACTTTGTCATCAGGCTGTACAGGGTCGGGGGGCACTGAGGGGGCATGGCCAGGCGCTCGCCGTTCTCTATCCTGCCGATGACGTCGTTGTTCTTCACGCCCTGGAAAGGCTTGATGCCGTACATCAGGATCTCCCACATGCAGACGCCTGTGGAGTGAAACGGACACGTTGGCTGTAAACGCCTGCAGCTTCACAGAAACGAACCGCGACGAGGAAAAAGGAGACTGCGGCTTTTAAGCGTACCAAACATCCAGACATCGCTGGCTGTAGTGAACCGTCTGAAGTTGATGGATTCTGGAGCCATCCATTTAATGGGCAATTTACCTTTAGATGCTGCAAAAGGGGAATAAAAGGAAGCATTTACTTTAGGTTTCAGTTTGGTTCTTTAAACTCTTATAAAATAACTACAGAGTAGTCAGTAAAGTGCCTCTGCTGAATTCAGATACCTTTATAATAAGAGCTGTCCTCCATGTATCTGGAAAGGCCGAAGTCCCCCAGCTTTACACAGTCGACGGTGGAGACCAACACATTTCGCGCTGCAATGTCCCTGGAGATCAAAAAACAAGATACTCACATATTTTTCAGAAGGTTTTTAGTCACACAAAGATGTATCTGTGTTCTAGTAAATAGCACTAAAATAGGGACAGTATCTCTTGTAAATTGCCTTTTGTACAAGACTCCTGCTATGTTATGGTTGGTTGTGCTGCTTGATGATAATCTCGTTTGTACCTGTGTACGAAGCGTTTGCTCTCCAGGTACGCCAGTGCTGTGCTGAGCTGATAAGAGTACAAGATGAGAGTGGCCAGGTCTAGACTGTACTTCCTAACCTGGAGAAACGACCGCAACTATGGAAAACAGAGGGAGAAAAAACAATCACAAAGTATAAAAGCAGAAGTTTAAACCACAAATAGGAGAAAAGAGACAAAATAATTATGGGACAGAAAATAAGAAACCAACAGCAGAATGCCTGGCTCTCAGTAGTGTACACTCCCTGTTAAAATACTAAGTTTTTGTGATGTGAAAATCTGTCGGGGCGTGTAAAATTAAAAAGAAGTTCTGCACTTTTTGCCTCTAATAGATTTCTTGTCAAATTTAAAAGGAAATTGATTATGGTCCTTTTTCTTTCATCACAAAAATCTGTTTAAGCCTTTTTAGCAGTGGTGTATAGATTTTTCTCACCCACTTAGTCACTTAATCTCTGTTTGCATTATTTACAGAGCTTTTAGTAAACATCTTGGCCTTTCAGTAAAGGCCATGATGTTACAATTACCCCCCATTCATCTACTGAATAATTCATACTGGAATGGTGCAACAGATTTACCTGTTAACAGTAATCAGGATGCTTCATTGTAATCAATAGATCCTGAAAACATTCAGAATCATTTTTGATTTCCACATGATTTAACTCCGTAGAAGTTCATTAGACCACATAAAAAAAAAAAACTGATCGTTTGATTCCAACGATCGGATTGTTTTCAGATTTATAAATGCGCCGTCGCAGCCCCTCCACATGTGCAGCACAGCAGTAATGAAAAATTAAACAAGGAGAAAGACAAGAAACACAAATTGTTGAATCATTAATGCAGGTCTGGCTTTTAATCATTACCTCCCCAAGTGTGCAGAGCTCCATGATGATCCACACCGGATTCTCTGTAATGACTCCCATCAGCTTCACTATGTGAGGATGGTCAAACTGACGCATGGTCACTGCATAGAAAACGTCCACAGATATTCCAATAAACATTTACTGCCCTTCGTCTGCAAGAACTTACTGCTAAAAATTTTATATATATATATATATATATATATATATGCAAGGATCTTACAGGCTTCCTGCAGAAATTTTTCCCTGACGCTGTCTGACGTCGAATTCTTGCACGTCTTCACCGCCACAGACAGAGCTGGGTTCTCCTGTGAGAAGTACAGCGTAGAAAAACCATATGTTGCAGTAATACAGTAGAGGCAATCAGATACAAATGCTTAAATTTACAAGAAAACTGGAAAAATACGTAGTTTTATACTTGGCACGTGACATAAGTAAGTAGGAAATTTATTTTAAAGGTTACGTCAAACTTTTCTATTATACTGATCCGACCTAGACTTTAAAATATCATCAACCAAACAACACTGACATAGTATCACACCAATATTACTAGTATTATTACAATTGTTTTAGAATTTCTTTCATTCCTATGAAGCAGAAAACCATCCAAACTGTGCCCCTGTGACTCGGCTTTACTGTAAAACAAAACAGTTTCACAAAAAAACTTATTTTGCAATTTGAGCTTGGGTACTGTCAGGGATAATATGAAACAAATGTGCTAGAAAAACACTAAATGCAGCAATTAAACAGATAACAGAACAGTGTATCTCTCCCCCCAGATCCCCCTTCTTTTATTTGAAATAGGAACAGAAGGTGCAATTAACATAAGATGGAGGATACGCACCTGGCTGATGTAGACTCCTTGGTGGACATCTCCAAACTGACCCTCACCGATGCAGCGCCCCAACTCAATGCAATCCCGCTGAATCTCGTAGTCCCGCGCTACACACAGACAACGCACACATAGGTTTGCACACCAAAAACAATACAGAAACACAAGAACATTTTTTATTTACTACCCTCTCACACATTGATCTTCATTTACAGAGCGTTCACTTTCCAAGCTTATTAGAGTACTTTACCGTGCGTTTACGTTCATGCTGCAAGTTAAAGGAAAAAGTATCTACATCTAAGCACTATATACTGTCATACAAATTTAAGCAGTATGTTTAACTCGGTTCAATTTGAAACGAAAGCATAAACAAATAAATGACGCCATCTGTGGACCACGGTCGTCATATTTTCAATTTTTGATCTTTTACTCTGACAAGCTTGGCTTTTATCGCACTCAGCACAGCTTCTTCTGAGCAACATGCAACAGCAGCATCGGCAAAACACAGCGACTCATGCCACATAACACAGATGACTAACAGCCAATAAAACTCAACGTATGGCGCTGCTCAGAGGTTTTTATACACTCGTGGCATGAATGTCATTCATTTGGCCTTTTAGTAATCTGCTTGTACTGGTCTGTTTCCACAGAGGACTCATCAACATTAAGCACGACAAAAATTTACTGCTGCTTACAGGGGGAAACTAATCTCTGGTGGAGCTAAATTGAGGTTTTTGCACCCAAGAACACTGAGCCACGTAAGCATGGAGGTGCTAAAGGTTTGTTTTCCTGCCAGCGGCACTGATGCATTTAACAAATTGAGTGAAATAATAAAGAGGGCAGACTATCTCCTTATTTTAAAGCTTGACTGTTTGAAATTTGGACAGGTATCAAAACTCTCTGATAGCAATTCAGATAAAAATCCTCAGTCTGTTGGGAAAGTTTCGCTGCTCACACCATCAGGATCCTCCCGAGAGTTTCCTTTCTACTTCTGCCTCATGCATGATCAGGAGACGTTGTTGCAATGTAAATTACTCAATTAAACTGCCTTGGCTTTCTTTGATAGGTCACTTTTGTATCAATTGACATAATAAACTGAACTTGAACTCTGGATTTAACTCAATCTGTCTGTATGACCGAGTTGAATTTGACTGTTTTTGTAAATAAATCTGTCTTGTAAAATGCTGTGATAAATTCAAAATTGTGGGTTCATTTCCTGTTTTTCAAATTCATTAAAAGTTGCACGCTGTATTTTAAATGAGTTGAAATCACAAATGGAATGCCATTCATGCCCAAGAACATTGCATATGTAAACCTCTGACCGACGTGGAAAATATAAACATAACATTTTATGCTGATTTAAATAGAATGGAAAAAGTCAGGTGGGATGTGTAATAAATTAATAAATCATTGCTGGCAAGAAATAAACTTATCAGGCTCATTTGTGTATAAATGTGTATCCTTGTTTGGTCAGTCAATCTCTTGTATTGTAGGAAAAGAGGACTCAATGTGAAACTCAGGCTGTTAAATGCTGGTGGTTGGCTCTGCCCGACCCGACTTTGTCCACGTTATCATCACATGAATATTACATGAAGCTACAAATGTCCAGTTACAGAAATCTCTTCTTTTATGATAATTACTACAGTTTAAATGGGACTTTTAGAAAAAGCAGATTCAGGCAGTAAAAAGCCTGGAATGATGATGTGCTAAACGTGGAAGTTGCATTTACTGCACATTAGTAAAACTGTTTATTTTAAGGCACTAAAATGGTACCATTATCTGTGTTAGTGGTCCATGTGTCACATTCTGAAATGTGTAAATACGTGAATTCACCTAAACTTTTTGCTTCATAAACTTTCCAAAAGGAAACACCCCAAATAACCTTCCATGATCAAATTATTCGACTTTTATGTTCTACAGGAGTGCAAACATTTTATCACATTAAGTTACCTTTGGCTTTTTTAATGATACTGTGTTTTTTTTTTGTTTTTTTTTTAAACCAATGAAATGCAAACAAGGCAAACAACTGGATCCAAGTTCTGAAGCTTTCACCAGCTCAGCCAGAACTGATAGCACAACCACACATCAACACAAGGGGGGAAGTAAAGTACAGCTATAGGAAAATATCACAGGTTTTATTTTACTGGTGCAAGCAAACAAAAGAGGGTCACAACAACCACCAAATGAAAGAGTCATCAACATGGTGTGTTCCAATCATTACCTTGATCTAGTCCATAGTATTCTGGGAAAACGGGTTAGGTATAAGAGACTTTGTTATTTAGATCAATAAGACAGTGACATAAATTAGGCAGGGGCCTGAATGTAACAGATTACTCTGGTTCAGAAAATAAAATTAACCTGTTCAAAAAAATATATATCTATAAAAGTTTTGCTGAATGAAAATCTCAAGAATTTCTAAAAACAAAAACAAAAAAACACTACTGATCCATCCTGGCTTAACAGAAACGTACTGGAGGCGTATTTAAAAAAAGAAGGCCATGTTTTGGTTGTTGCATGAATATGTCTACAATATCCAGACAACATTTTATGGCAGGTTACATGGGCAAGTTTATATAAAAAGAAATTGCTGAATATTTTCACTTTAAATGTCAGCAACTTCCTCTCACATCACACATTAAAGTTCACTCACCCATCTTCTCTGCCTCTCAATGTTGTCCATCAAGCATTGCATAGGCATGAATAAATCTAAACCCAGAGGTCAGGCAGCACACAGCAGCCACAGCAAGCTCACATCACTGCCTTATCTCACTAAAAGTATGAACACTGTCTGAACACGGAGAAGAAAGCAGCAGGATGGACAACGGTTTTCCGAAAATGTTGACTATAACTCAGACACTGTGTAGTAATTAAGAAGCTGTTTTTAATGAGTATATACTCTTGTATACAAACCAATCTATAAAAACAGATTTAATGAGTAGGACAACAGGCAATTGATGTTTTTGAAAAGTTATCTGTGGAAGCAATTATCATCACTGAAAAATAAATAATGTTATAATAACAAGACATCCCTGCCAAAAATGCACAGCAGTCAATATCTGAGCAATTTTTGTTGTGAACTATTAGAGTAATAAATGAAAAAGACACTAAACACGGTACCTATGGGACATTAAATAAGTCAATGCAACACCCTCACATTTCAGCAGCACTGGCATCCTATACTCAGCTGTCAAAATAAGTAACCGTGTCTCTGTTTCCAGGCAGGTTTACGATTTAAACAACTACAAAAAAAAAAAGCCGATTCTGTGCTTCAAAATGTTAGCAAAAGTTCCATAATCCATCACTGCAGCATTACCAGACAACAGATTTGTTCTGGGATTGCTGTGCAGAAGAGTTTCACACTTTTTCTCAAAATTGCACAAACCTCCTTCACGGCCCTGGGAAAACAAATGTTTTTCTACCACCAGGGTTTTCCTCATTGATGTGGAAAGCAGAGAAAACAATCTATAGAAAACAAAACCAGGTCACAATAGGTGGAGCAGAGTAGCTCATGGTCCATCCATGCACATTCATGTGCAGAGAAAAAAATTCTGTTTGGGACTTTTAAGCATCATTCGAATATGGGAAAACTTTCTATCAGATGTGCTGACAAAGAGGATTTAAAGTAATTCTGTTATCAATCCAATACACTCTTCACCATTTTCATTCTCACCTCCTTCTCATTACAAAACGCCATGCAGTGTCTTCAGTTAGAGTCACAAATACAAGTTGCATTTAAGCTACAAAGACAACACTGAACTCGGCACCAAGTCTATGTGCAAATGGTGTTTGCGTTCCTCCCTAGAGCTGCTGATCTCAGTGTTAAGGCAGTGGATTTTATTGGTTTGTTTTTTACTTTGTGGTGTTGAGAGATGGCTAACTGCAGCACTAAAACTTGAATTACAAAAAACTAGACAGCAGACGTTATAATGTGGAATGAGTGGCTTAGTGTTAAATCTTAAATCAGCAGTCGATGTGTAAAATATAGTTTCATTCAAAAATTAAGCCGGATTTCAATTCAGAATTATTCAGAAGCGTTTTAAGGTCTGTATTAATTAAGTAAACACTTTTCATTTTCACTTATGAAGTCAGGACTTAAAGAGTTGACAAAATGATTGATTTAGTTTAAATATGGATGCTGTTTTTCCTGGCTTTAAGGCAGAACATGCCAAAGGTCCAACCTAAAATCTCAAAAGTTAACAGGTGTTCAAATTAAATCAATCATTATATACCATTAAAATGAGGTTTTTTCCACACAAGTCTCTACAGACCTATACTTAATTAATTTCCAAAACCTTGAAGTGATGGACAGCCCCTCACTGGGTAAACACATCAGCTTAATCAACAACATGTAGGAGAAAGGCCTACTTACTTGAAGGCATGGTGTAGGTGTCCTCCTCATCGATGATCTCAGCGTAGTCGTCTGTTTCTGCAGAAGCAGAGTCCATTCAGGAACCACAACCAGCAAACATAGTCACTCGGTTGGTGACAAAAATCACAGAACTAAGCTAGGTTGGATCAGTACTTAACATCTTCAGGGTAAAGAACCACATCAACAGATTGTCACCACACCCAACTCCAAGCACATGCACATTTATACGCGTTTATGTACTACTGACCAGATCCCCACTTTAGAATGAGTCACAGTAGTACAATAGTGAGGGAAACATACAGACAGACGGCCAAGGGGAAAGGGGAGGGTTGGAAAGTTTTGTTTTTTTTTCCTTTCCACAGAAACACACTGAAGGCAAACAGACTGAGTCATGGGTCACAAAAACATTCACAGGCAGAGACCAAGATACTGCACAAACGTCCAGCACGCTAAATCAAAACAAGATTTATTATGCTGCTAAATAAAAGAAGTTAAATACAAAGAGTGAGGTTTACCATCGCCACTAATGTGACCTGCAGAAGACGCATGCAGCAAAAAAACCACAAACAGGAGCAAAGAGAGAGAAGGGTTAGTTTTATAGTCAACATGAAAAAAATAATTAGTCACGCAACTAACTGATACATTTCTAAAGAATTCAAGATGGTTTCACTTCAAACTGTAAATGTGAGTCAGTCAGAGGTCAGCAGAGAGACAGAGAGCAGAGAGAGTGGCAGTGACTAAAGCCCTCCACAGACACATCTGGTGAGACAAGGACTCTTCTCTGCACACACAAATGAAGCTTTATGGAGGAATCTGGCTCTACACACGTATCTATGAGCCCCTCATACAACTCTGATCACATTGGGTCATTCATGACATTTAAGGAGAAGCTGTGTGACTGGCTGGCATCGTTACCTGACACGCAAACAGCCCGGGTGCGTACGCCATCCATCCGCTTCTCCATCCGCTTCTCATGATTTGAAACTCTGCGGCACAGATTTTTCTCATATTAAAAAAAAATAAATACTGCATTGAACGTAAACAGCTGCAAACAGGTAAAAGCCAATTGAAATGTTGTCCAATTTAGGTTATGAATCAGAAAATTATGAAGCCAAATGAGAGTTAATGTATTAAAAAATTACTTTTATGTAATGAAAAGAGCCATACGACGGAATTGTTGAAATGAACAGAAATAAGTGTATGAATTACTCTGTGTGTAATAATTATATATGTGTGATTAAGCAATAAATTATTTTTTCTGTAAGATTTATTGACATGCATTTCTACAACCAAGAGCTTACTCACTTTGGTATCGAAGGAAGAGCTCTGTCTCCCTCTGCAACGAACAGACAAGCACATCAACAAGAGTGAAACAACCTAAAGTGAGAGCCCAAACTTGACTGCTGTTTCTATGAAGCCTCAGCTACTTGTAGAAAAGGTGCACAGGCTGGTTATTATTCATAGTGACGAGAACAGGCGGGTCATCAGCATTAAATGACATCTGCTGGAGGGTTCTGTGTTTTACAACAACACACTTTTTCGCCCCCTCCTTTTATTTGAACCGCAGCAGCATCGAAACAAAAACCCCCCCAAAAAACTCAGTAGTACATCAAAATACAAAACTATGTAGCTACTCAACATACCTTTATGAACTCTAACAATGAAGGAGCGCGTAACCGAGGAGACGAGACGACAGTAACCGTCAATCAAGTCGGCCATGTTTTCTGCTGTATTCAGCAACGCTGTCGTGACAGTGAGGGGCTGCAAACACAGGCGAGGGAGACAGAAGGATCAGTGTAAGAGCGGGACAGGGAGCTGCTTCACAGTGACACAATGAGAGCTTCACTGATAATAATGTACCCTATCAGAGTGTGTGCACACAGCCCTGTGCCAATACTGCAGCAGTGATGCACACATGCAGCATCCGGCAGCACAAACAGGCGCTCTGAAACCCACGAAATTAAATCCTTATTTAATTTCTAATGCAAACTTTTATACTATTCGATCAGTATTTTTATAACTTTGTGCAAGAGGAACCTTCTCAATGGTTAGTGATTTTTAAGTATAAGCGCTTTGTTGATAAAAATCAGGGGAAAAAAACAATGCTAAACCTGTTAAATAGCATTGCAAGTCAGCTGGAAGGCAAACATTTTACAGGAACAGATTCTATTATGGTTTTCTACCCAACTTTGTTCTTGGTTCAACACATTTGCTGTGGTATCATTAAAAATAAGTAAAAACACACTCAAATATTTTGATTGAGCAGCAAAGTTGTATTTCTAAAAGTTTAGTTCAGCCAGCTAGATTGTAATGTTGATCTCAGCCAGGTCAGGACTCTGGAATGGTACAAATTATTTTGAAATTAAAGCACATGAGGTGATGTGGTGGCGCAGGGGTTAAGCATAACCCGCCCTAGTTCTCGACGCGGTCACCACAGGTTCAATTCCTGGCCTGGTGACCTTTGCCGCATGTCTTCCCCTTTCTCTGATTACCCTACTTTCCTGTCATAACACTTTTAAATAAAGGCCACTAGAGCTAAAAAAAAAAAAAAACCTTTAAAAAAAAAGAAAAGAAATTATAGCACGTGTGCTGAATATAAATAGGTCTTTTTCTATTTCAGAACAATTTTGTTTGCACATCATCTAATATTGGTTTGTATATTAAAACTGAGATGCACAGAGAAACAGGCTGGTAAATGAAATCGACGATTCTCTGCTATTTTTGCCTTACTGGTGAGCAGCACATTGGATACTCAAAAAAGAAAAAAAAAAATCTAAATTGCTGCCAAGTGGCAAGGAAAAAGAACAACGATTTGTTATTTTACTTGAGGTGTTAAAAAAAAAGTCAGCAGAAGCACTGAAGCAAGAAGCTCCTCAAGGACTGGATAAACAAACAAACAAAAAAAAAAGGATCAAAGTGAGCGTATACACGTACCTCTGGAGCTCCAGCGACGTTCAGCTGAAGCATCCCTTTCCTGTCCTTTTCTTCCAAAGCAGAGTATTGGATAGACTGGACTTGGTTAAAATTAGCTAAGTGTGTTGGCTAGGGAGTGAAAGAGAGATGCATTAAAATCCTAAATATCCACTGGTTAATTATAAAGAGCAATACAATTGTAGAAAATATGCATGGCAGGTATTTGGATGGGGAAAATGTTTCCTACTTTTCTAAGATTCTGTGGTGTTTTTATCCCTGGTAGTTTGTCAAATATATGAAGTGAAGATCCCAAGGATAGAAGTAACACACCAGACTGCTGCTCTGAGGAGTTATAGCCTAAACATACCAGTGCAACTCATGCTGCCATAAACGCATCAGCAAACTTTTGCCAAATATATAAACCAAACCGAAGCACATAAATCTGCAGAGGGTCTCCGATGTTAACCCTTATCACAACAGATCACATTTCCTTAAAAGCTTTCCCTCCCACTTGATCAACATTAGGTTCACTCAAACAAGTGCAAGTAAAGTCTCTTGAGACCACTGTCCACTTAATATGTATTTGTATTTGCCTCAAGTTTCCAGCCCAGTACTGCATTGTAAGTAAGTGGCATGAGTAAAGTAGAGGTGAAAGAGAAGATAAGTCAGAATCAATCATAATCAGGCCTCTTAGGAAGCAGGGAAGCTCTTAGCTGTTCAGCTGAAACTGGATCCTTTGTATCCAAAGCACAGGCGATAACGCCACCACTCTATTAGAAGATCCATATCAAGATTTTTTTTTTTTTATGTTGAGAGACATAATACATAAAGAGAAACACAAAAGAAGTTGATCTTTTCAGTGGATCTGTAGTGATTTCTATATCACCTCCAAAGACAGGAATGAAACAAAAAAAAGCTCAGATCTCTGAGCATCTGAGTGACCAAGACAGAAACTCAATGCACTGATAAATCTAAAATGGACAGCATCAAAGTGGTGTAAATGACTTGCTAAAATGAAGAGAAAGTTATAAATCGGCATACGACCCTAATGAAATTCTGCCGTTTTACCAGTGTTTCACACGGTTCAGATATGAACCAATTTTTAAAGGTAAAACAACAGAAAAATCTCACATGAAACAGCATCACAGGCATTTCTCAAACTTGAGACTAAAAGTGTGGAGCGTTCAAACCCAGCAAAATCTGGCAGAGGGAGACAGACCACTAGATGGCAGCATAATCCATGACAATTATGGCCTCCCATTAAAAGCATCCTCTTTATTAATGTTCAAGATCAGAGAAATGACAGACATCAAATTTGTACAAAGATCGATCCGAGTGCATACTCACAGTTGAGCCCTTATCTGTGAGGTAGCTGATTCCTTCCTCTGGCCCTATTGCCAGCTCTACTGATATTACCCAACTAGACTAAGGAGGAGAGGAAAACAAGGCAATTACAAGAATTATAATTGCCTCTCTATGACTTAATATAGGGTGGAAACACATATTAAGTGTCAAGTATCAATACTTTCCAGATTTTAACTTTCAGGAAGTGAGGAAAGCTGCTTTACTATGGAAAATATGTACGTTTTTTTTACCATAAACAGCCATATTGTATACTTCTGAATGATAAAAGGCACCATAATGTGCCTGGAGAACAGGAACCTTACCCCTAAAGCACATTTGAAGCACTCCTTGTCAAAGGGGTAGATGGGAGTGATAATCTCAAAGAACTTGTGGATGCTCTGCTCATCGTTGAGGTTAGCAAACTGTTTGAAGGTCTGCTGAATCTGCTTACGAAGAGTCTTGGCCTAATGGAGGGAAGATGGCGGGAAGAAAAGAAAGAGAAGCAGAGAGAGTGAAGCCTTTCAGGAAGGAGGTTGGTTCAGAGCCAGCAGAAGAACAACACACGTTTGACAGCACAGGCTGTGAGTGACAACAGCAGGTTTAACTTAATTCCACACAATCAGATAAGCAGAAATCCTTTCAGTCATCACGCCGGCTCTGCTGCCAGTCAACCAAACAGCCTGCCAGCTGAAATTCCAGATACACACTAAGCCACTGATAAAATGTAATGTAAACAGTTTTTAAGCATATTCTCACCTTTAGGGAGTCCAGCAGACTTTTAGGGAAGAACCGTCTCAAACCCACATCCTTCCTAGAATGAATAAAAACAGTTACACCTTTGCAATCACACACATCGTAAAGGATAACACAATTGAGTTCAGTGACATGTGATCAACAAGAAAAAAAAAAATCTTACTCTAGTAGCTCATAGTTTGATTTCTTATCAAGAGCATTTCCTGGCATCTCTCTGAAGAACCTCCTGCATAATTCACAGGGAAAACACACAGAAATTAAAGTGATATTTTTATTAAAAACGTCATTTCGTAAGTATGAGTTTTCACATTTTGCTACCAACACAGTAGTGCATAATCCTGAAGGGAAACGGAAAGGATTAATCCGTTTCAAAATCAATTCTTTTCATTAATCAAATACCGTTACATTTAATCCAGTGCAATCAGCTGTCCTCAGAAATCAATTGATTAATACATGAAGGGGAGTAATTTAAATCCAGTAACAACCTCACTGTTTCAAGAAAGCCACAAGAAATCCTTGGTAATGTTCAGCACAAGAAACTTTAGAGGATGCTGCAAACATTGGGTATCAAGTGCAAAAGTTTAACTTTTTGGCCAACATGGAGAAAAACGAATACAGCAAATCACTCCTGACACACACACACACAATGTAAAACATGGCGGTGGCAGCATCATGCTGTGGGAATATTTGTCTTCACTAGGGACAGGTAGGTGGATCAAAAACATATACAACAGAATGACATAGATCAATACATGTGTGTTATTTTAAACTGTCCTAGTCAAAGTCCAAGCCTAAATCTGATTAAGAATCTGTAGAAATATTTGAAAATTTACATGTGATTGCACTATTGTGTAAAGAACAACAGAACAAAGTTTTTACTCTAGATTGGTAAAAACTCCCAACATTACATGAAACTGTAGTGCACAGAAGGCTGGTTCTGCAAAGTCGACGCTTTTGCATCATCCGTCAAAATAAGAACGCATCTGAATACAAACTGTTTCAAAGATGAACAGTGAATGAATGCCTCAATTTCAAATTTTCAACTAAATATGAAAGCTTAGGATGTTGGTAGTGAGCCAGTCGGCAGCATTCTCCTGTTAGCGGAAGCATATGCTGGACGCGCTGCTGAAAGATGCAGGTTTTTTCTTCCGGTGCCGTTTTCTGTTTCTCCTGGGTCAGACGCAAGAAGCTGCCAAGGCTACATGTGCTTTCACTATCCCCCATCATGTCACACTAATTAATGCCTGTCCTAGAAAAAAAAAAAAAACTGTTTATTGTGTTTAAGATTTATTTTTCGCATAATTGTTTCACTCTACGATACCTCTAGGAATGTTATAATGTAGGATTAATGACTATAATGCTGAAAATAATAGTGATTGTGAATGCTGTGCATCATTTGGCAGGGTGTGGGTGGCATTTTAATCTGCATTATTTTAAGTGGGGAAACATAATTCCAGACAAATATTCATGATGCAAGCAGCCTGTTCGAACAAATTATCTGTCGTTGAAACGTGACAAAATGTGAAAATTCAGTGGTTGCAAATACTTTTGCTAAATGCTGTGGAGTGAAATGATTCGACTGACATTTCTCTCACCTTATTTCCAAACAGCCTAGTTTCAGTGCAACATCTTGATCCACCTGGTCAGCTAAATGTTGCATATAATCACTTTTCACCTATAAAAAAAAAAAAAAAAAAAAAAAACAAAAAAAAAAAAAATTTTTTTAGGGGGGGATA